CCCCCCCCCACTTTTCCTCTCCCTGAAATCAATAAAGATATGTTTAAAAAAAAAAAGAAAAATACATAACAGAAATAGAATACATGACTATAGTATGCAAGTAGAAATTACAGAATTGTCCTAGTTATGTCTGTGTCTGCATAATCAGTAATCCCAAAGCTTAGCTGCATAAACAAACAATCCATGTTCATGGATTTTGTGGGTCATGAATTTGGCAGGGCATAGCAGGGATGGCTACCTCTGCTCCAGCGAGTCTGGGACCTGCAATCTGAAAGTTAGCTTATGCACATGTCTGACACCTGATGATGGCAGTAGGCTGGGGCTGTTCTCTTCATGTGGACTGGAGTTTAGGCTCCCTCACAGTATGATGTCTGGATTCCAAGGTTTAGCTTTCCAAGAGGGAGATAGCAAGCAAGAGAGTGACAGCCAAGAGAAACCCTTTTATGACCTAACCTAGGAAGTCATAGAGTTATATATGCTTCATTCTGTTATATTAGTTGAGGCAGTCATAGCATTTTGTTCGGGTTCAAAGGAAGTGGAAACAGATTCTATCTCTTGATGGGTGGTGTTGTGTATGGAAAGCTTCTAGAAGAGCATGTGAGATTGGAAATACTGCTGTAGCCATTTATGGAAATTATAATCTGCAAAAAAGGGTAAAGATAATGATTAACTTTAGTCTGACTTAATCTGAATATGCATGTTGTAAAATAGGGTAATTATCAAAAGACAAAAGCCACTAGTAAAGACAAAAGTACACTAGCAAAGAAAAAAAAATGTACAGCTTAGGAGAAGAGAAACCATATCATTTATATTAAAAAAGAATTTAGCCTAAGGTTTTGGGAAAACTGAAAATGTCAGCAAGGCACATAACTATCACAGGGCAGAGGGTGAGATTATTAGAACCTGGAACCCTAGATGAGATACCCTGCAGAGTGCCAGAGAAAAGTTAGTGAATAGAAACCCACCACAACTTCTGGAAGAAAAGCCATGCTGACAATATCAGGAAGCAAACAGCAAGGGTAAAAGTCTCTTCTCCCTTTGTCCAGCATCCCAGCCTCCTTTTAGTGTTCCCTGTTTATAGAACCTAAAGAGAGCCAAACGGCAAAGGAGAAGTGTAGTTTGCAAAACTTCAGAATACAAAAGGGTGTCTAGATTGAGAGAATAATTGGCATAAATGGAATAAAGAAACTAAGAAAATACAAATTTTAAAGATAAGAAATTTAGAGAAAAACAATCACAGAACAGGCTAGAACAACAAAATCCCCCATACAATGACAGAAATAAATCTAAATATATCAGTAATTACATTAAATGCAAATGGCCTAAGTGTTCAGTTAAAAGATAAAAATTATCAAATTGGATATAAAAAGCCCCCATATTCAAACTCTAGGCTGGAATGAAGAAACACGCTCCTAAAAAAAAACCGAGTCAAAGAGGAACTCCTAACGAAAAATAGAAAAATATTTTAACTAAATATTAACAATAATAAACATATATACACATACATACACACAGGGTGGGGAAGAAACAGATTTACAGTTGTTCATATAATAAATAATACAAGTTAATAAATATTAATACAAGAACTCTGTTTCACATACAACTGTAAACCTACTTTTGCCCAACCCTATATATGTATCAAAACCTGTGGAATATTGGCTACAATAGCAATTAGAGTATAATATAGTAATAGAGATATTTACAACTCTATTTTATTTCCTTATTTTTAATCCTCACCTGAGGATATTTTTTCCGTTGCTTTTTAGAGAGAGTAGAAGGTAAAAAGAGAAACACCGATGTGAGAGAGACACATCAATTGGTTGCTTCCCAGATGTGCCCCAACCGGGGCCGGGGATCAAGCCTGCAACCGAGGTACGTGCCCTTGTGCCTGGAATCGAACCCGGGACCCTTTAGTCTGCAGGCTGACATTCTAACCACTGAGGAAACTGTCTACGGTGAGATATTTTTAACTTTTAAATGCATATGTTTGAAGACAAGCTGAAAATGAATGAGGTAAGCATCCATCTCAAGAAGTTAGAAACAAGAACAGTAAAAAAACCCTAAAGAAAATAGAAAAAAAGGAAGTAATATTGATAGGAGCAAAAATTAATGGAGAAGAAACATAACAGAGAAGATTAACAAAAACAAAATTTGGATCTTAAAAAAGACTAAACACTGTTGGTCTTTGTATACAGGATATCCGAAAGAATTTACAAATAATTTATAAAAATCACAGCAGATCAAACCAGATACAGAAGCAATGCAAAGAAATCAATTATATTTTACACTAATCAACAGTTAAGAAATGAAGTGGGGGCTAGGTAATTTGGTTTAACACTCTCATTTGAAAATATTTAGATAGTTGGACAAAATATATTAAAAAGTGTTGGGAGGACATCAGAGAGTCGTTAGTGAATAATTATCAGGCTAATATCTGGGAAAAATAGAAATTCATTATGGTGAACCCTTCATTTGGGACCACTTGTTCCCTGGGAGCTTTTGAAGAACTGAAAGAGTCCACTGAGAAACTGAGTATAGCTAAGGGACTAGGGAGTCAAAGGTTGATTGACTATAGTGCCAGGCAAGGGCGGGGCTAGTAACCCTAGCTCACTCTGCAACCCTTAGGGTTGCAGGAGTAAGGGTTAACAGGAAGAAAGAGTACTAGGACAGTCTACAGTTCAGCTCTGAGTGACATGGATGACTCAGTCTCTAAAACTGGGTAAAAATGATCCTGAACTACTAGTGCCCAAGTGTCTGGAAGAGCACACAAAAATATTCTTTAGAGGATGAAAATTACTATGTTGGGCATCAAATTGTTCATACAATTTTTCAAATATAATATTGGCAATCACTGAAAAATAGTAAGACACACAAAAATATATAATAAAAAAAGAGGATTAGCAGAAACAAAAGAAAAATAAAAACAGACCCAGAGAATTTCAGATTTGGGAATTATTAAATACAGACTATAAAATAATGCTTTTCATGTTCAGGCAGACAAAGGATTAAATTACAGCAAGACAATTGGAAACTGCAAGAGGGACAGATTTCCACATGTGCAAACAGAAATGTGAGAACTGAAAATACAAAGGCTAAGAATAACCAAGACACTCTCACAGAGCAACAAGCTGGGAGCACAGCTCTGCGAGATATCAAAAACAATGTATCAGCCACGGTGACAGTACCAGGAGCACGAGCACAGAAAAGGGACAAAAAGTTCAGAAACAGAGGTATAAATATAATTATATACAGAGTGGGGCCAAAGTAGGTTTACAGTTGTTCCTATGGGCAAATAATACAATATTAACAAACAGTAATACAAGAATAAACTGTTTCGCATATGTACAACTGAGAAACAGGATGTCTGTACTGCTCAGGAAAAATTGTTATTCTCTAATAAGATTTAAGATAAGAATACCCTATGACCAAGCAATTCCATTCCTAGGTCATACCTTACTTGCACGAGGAGATACATATAATAATGTTCAATGGGGAACTGTGATTGTCCCAAACTAAAAGCAACAGAACTGTCTGCAGTCAATAGAATGAATAAATGGTGGTATGTTAATGAAAAGTAAATTATATGACAATGATGATGAATGAAGTATAGCTATAGGCAACAACATAAATTCCTTGTTCAATGAAAGCAGCAGCCAAAAAAGAATACAGTTTGATCCCATTTACATAAAGTTCAAAACCATGAAAAAGTAAATGGCACTGTTTAAGTACATACATAGGTGGTAACACTAAAATTAAAACAAAGACAGAGTTATCACAGAAGGTGGGGTAGTATTGCCAGAAGGTATGTTGCCGGAAGCTGGTTTTGATTGGGAAGGGACTACAAGGGGAGTTTCTGGGCTGCTGTCAATGTTCTGTTGATTTGAGAGTTGGTTAGACAAGTCATTACCTTAAAATGATTCCTAAAACTGCATATAAATATTTTACGTACTCTTTTCAATATATTGTTAAAATATTTGTTTCTCAATTAAAAAAAACAAAGCTAGGATGTGGCAAGGGAAAAGTAAACACAAATTACCTACTCATTACTTACTAGGATCTCCAAGATCTCAATTTCCTGTTGAATTTGTTAAAAGCAAAAT